ATGAAGGTGAGGTTGGGTTGGGTTGGGTTGGGTTGGGGTGGGTGGGCAATGGGAGTGGCGACGAGCATGATGAGGGAGATGGATTGCGGTGAGGAAGGGGGTGGTGTACTGGTGTTGGTTAAATCATATACCAAAATTATTTTTGTCTTTTTAAAGCCAAATTATAGAATGCGTTACATTTGTCATAAAAGGAACTTCAAATCCTTCACTTGTCCTAATGAATGTGGAATCCAATCAATTCAATTTGTGGACTCAATATAGGGGATGTCTGATATTGCTTATTTGAAACAACTTATGTTTTTTTACAAAAGCACTTATTAACTTATTATAAATCAGAAGCGTTTAACTTCTTCAAAAACTCCTTATTACCGGTTTGACACCGGTATAAGTTATTTATTCAAACACCCAAAAAATGCTTATTACCGATATCATATCAGAATAAGTCAATAAAATATTTTTATAAGCAATTGTAAACATCCCAATAATATATGATCAAATTAAAGATTATTTATTTATTTTACTTTTTCTTAATTTATGAGATTGTACCAAAGGCTCATGCTTGGATCGATTCTTCTCAACTTCATCCCTCCCTCAGCGGTTTTACATTTCAATCTGCGCGGAGGGTACGGACGGCTAACTATCTCACTCTCCGATGGGGATCCAGCAGGAACAGCCGCCGGTGACGCCACCCCCACTATCTACTCCGCTGCGTACTGCCACCGCCGACCTCTTTGGTGATCCAATCGACTCACACCCCCTATGGTTCAAACAATCCTCATTCCTTAGCCCTGATTTCGACTCGGAATCCTACATCTCCGATCTACGAACTTTTGTACCCTTTGAAACCCTAAGATCGGAGCTTCAGTCCCATCTTTCATCCCTTAAACACGAACTCGTAGAGCTAATTAACCGAGATTATGCTGACTTCGTGAATCTCAGCACGAAACTTGTTGATGTCGATGCCGCCGTTTTGCGTATGCGGGCACCGCTCATTGAGATCCGTGAGAAGATATTGGGGTTCCGTGGGGCGGTTGAAGGGTCGCTTTTGTCATTACAGGGTGGGCTTAGGCAAAGAGCGGAAGCGTCTGCTGCTAGAGAGATCTTGGAACTTTTGCTTGATACTTCTCATGTCGTCTCCAAGGTAATGTGAACTTCGGAGCCTAATCACCTTTAGCAGCTTTCTAATTGTCAGGATATTTGATGTGGATTTAAGTGATCTCGGAGTGATGTTACAGAACTGGCCTCCCATGGTTTACATCGATACGCACATCTGGATTCCCAAGCTACGCTTTTACGGGCTGAATTTCTTTTAGTTGATCTCGTTTTGAACAAGTTGTTGAATTGAAATGGTGTTTTGGATCCGAGTAACTTTTTGTAGTTAACTTGATAACCATTGTTAACACGGTACCCCAGCCTTGAGAACTGCTATTATTTCCATTATTAATTTCCATAGAAATTGCAACATTTCCACATTTGGCAAATGTTCATGTTAATATTACAGGTTTACCATATCATAAATGATCTGACTCTTTACTGATTTTGGTCCACGAGGGTCATATGTTTTTTCGCTATAGAGGGCACACTTGTCCATACTCAAACACTATATAGATATCAAATGTTGCAGTTTCCAAGGGACTTGGAAAGAGAATTTGAGGAACTGATGTATTATATAGTCAGATATACCTTGTGATCTTTAGGATTTGAACACTAATGCTATGGATATAGGATCATGGGTTCACAAGGTACCCTTTTATTAAACCTAACTGAATTGCTGATTGGTGATCTAAGTAGAGGTTTGAGTAATTGAGGATACTTGGATGCACTTATGATCTGTTGAACTTCCTATGTTTCACGTCCAATGCCCATTTTCCGAACTTTATAAAAATACACAGTATATATTGTTGTCCATGATAAACTTCTGGTCATGATTTTTACACACTGGTCTGAACAATTTTTTTGGCCAAGAGTGTGTTATACCCTAGAAGTTGCTATCAGATATGTATGCTGGGGGTAAAGGGTAGAGTTGGAATTAGTTATAATAATGTAATAGTAATAGATAAGAGGAACATGGGTAATATAGGAATGTTGAGTTTCTATTATAAGGGCGTAGGATTGGAAAGTAGCAGGAATAGTCTGTTGAATAGCTGTGAGAGGTGTAGCAGAATGGTATCTTATTTGTGATCTGATTTGTCAGTAGTTAGGGAGACCCAGCTTCTTGAATTGCTGGAAAACCATCAATCATCCGACTGCAATGTCAGTTTCATTCTGATTTTATTTGAGTGTGTATCAGAGTGCTTAATTACGAAACAGCTAATGTATTTGCCATTTTCATCTTGGAAACTGATGATGACTTCTGTCTCACATATGAGCATCATTAGTATGTATTTGGAAGGTTTAGCAGCTTCATGTGACTGGTAACTTGGTAATATGAACTGCAATGTCATCAACTAACCAAATATTTTGCTTGACTTATAAGAGAAATTATGTTGAAGAGCACGTTACTGACTATTTGGAGATAAACTGTAGCATGCTAGACTTCAATAGTTGTAAATAGGCATTTAATATGGTTAAATGGAATAATATCGATTCAGACAGAAAAGGTTCTCTTTTTAGATACAGAGACACAAAGATTCCACTCCCCTACCTGCTAATGAATAGCTGCTACTTGTATTCTTAATAAGGAAGTGTTGGCAAAAAGATTTGCTAAAAGGTTGGGACTTCATCTATAGCTCAGTTTAATTTTACCATTAGATTGCTGCAAGAATTTTATACTATTGATCTTGAATATATGCTTGAAAGTTTAGTTGTCCTGTGCCCATTCACTTTTGGAATATCAAGTAAATTTAGGGATTTATGCATTTTTGTTGTTGCGATTACAGGTTGAGAAACTAATAAAGGAGCTGCATAGTGTGCCTGCTGATGGATTCAATGGAGATCTACAGACGGCAGAAAGGGGTCATTTAAGTAATGGTGTCTCTATACAGCATGCTGAAACTGGAATAATTCTCAGGGAAACCCAAAGCATGCTTTTGGAGAGAATTGCCAGTGAAATGAACAGGCTAAAGTTCTACTTTGCTCATGCCAAGGTCTTTCCACTGCATCCATGTTATATAAGTGATTTTACAGGCTGTTCTTGATCATTAAGTTTGTGGAAGTTCTGTTGGTTGAATTATCATTCCGATCTTACTTTAATTAACCTACCAAAAACCTTGGAAGGACCTATATTCTACTTTTGCTGACCAAACCGCATAAGTGGTGGTCAACACAATAGTACCAACCCTCTTGTCTTGTCAAGTGACATCATGTTGGTAACTGTTCCCTTTGTTAATTCAAGTTGTCACATGTTTAAATATACGATGAACTGAATGCTGCCCCCTTGTTAATTCAAGTTGCCGCATGGTTATAATGTATGATGAGCTAAATGTTGGCAACTTGGCACCTAGATTTTTGCAGTAGATGTTATCCACATTGTTATCAAATACTTACTATTTTTCTCTATGTTCGGCTTGCTAGCATTCGAGGATGGTGGTTTGGAAAGGATATGATGCTTTGAAAAATGCTCTCAATAGTATCTTAGTAACTTACACACATTCTTTCTCTGTTAACGGCAGTACAGAACCTGCCTTTTATTGAGAACATGGAAAAGAGGATACAAAATGCTAGCTCATTGTTGGATACAAGCTTGGGACACTGTTTTGTAGATGGATTGATACACAAGGATGCAAATGCAGTATACAATTGCTTACGTGCTTACGCTGCTGTAGACAACACCCGAAATGCAGAAGAGATATTCCGCTCAACAGTTGTGGCACCTTTAGTTCAAAAGGTGATTCCATACAGTGCACCAGGAGTGGTTGGTGGGTCTATTGGGGATGAGCTTGAAGAAGACTACAAACAAATCAAGCATCTTATTGCCGAAGATTGTACATTTTTGTTGGAGATTTCTTCAACAGGTATGGTCATGCTATACGATCAGTAATTTAAGGCCTTGCCTATTGAAATTTGAGGCATTTGACTAACTATTGCCTTTTGGTGCATCATACACTTCAATGAAGTATTTCTCAGTTCATGCTACATTTTATTGGTCATGGGAGTTTCTTGATATGGATCAAGTAGCTGTAATGTCCCGATACAATACCCTTATTGCCAAAAAGAAGTAGCTATATGGTCATATCTTATGTTAACCAAGATCTAGGGTAAAACTGGCTCTGAACTTTTGATTTATAATTGCTATATCCAAGGTGTGAATAACTTGCTCAATTTCATTGCTTTGCATGATATTGTTATGAGATGAAGCGGTTGAAAACTCTGATAACTGGAGGTTTCAACCACGATCTTCTTGATATGATTACTTGAGTTGTGTTATTCAATTCTCAAATTTCTCTTCCACTCACCTTTTAAAAAAACTTTGCTATGGATTCAAAGCATCAATGTTTTGAATGTACTTATTTGACCTTGCTTCCATTTATTGCCTGGTTTAAACTCCATTTGGAGACTTACACTCGTTTACTTCATTCTGGATGACCTGTCTCTACAAACAAAACTTTGGTGCTCTACATTGTTGTATGACTCCTTTTGCTTTCTATCTTTGTTCCCAAACTGCTGCACGGGATTCCGGCTTGAAAAGTAACAGAGCTTTTTGATGGTTATATGATTGTCTCTCAATTGCAGAAAATTCGGGTTTGCATGTATTTAGCTTCCTTGCCAATTCAATACTTAAGGAGGTTCTTTGGGCAATCCAACAGGGAAAGCCAGGGGCCTTTTCTCCTGGAAGGCCTACTGAGTTCCTGAAAAATTACAAATCAAGTCTAGGTTTCCTGGCTGATTTAGAAGGTAGTAGAATAAATTCTGATTTCATGTATCTGTATTTGTATTTGGCTTGTTAACATCTTGGTATAAGGACCACTTTTGATTGTAACTTCGTGTTGTCATGCTAGGATACTGTCCATCTAGATCTGCTGTTGCCAACTTTCGAGCTGAGGCTGTATATGTAGATTTCATGCGACTATGGAACATTGGGGTGTATTTCTCATTAAGGTCCCAGCAATTTCCTTTCTGTGTCAATCTCTAAAATTTAAACCACTATTTTCTTCTCATTCTGTCCTGCATTAGAGGTAGTACATAAACCAATGTGAAAGAAAATTAAGGGATTGGAGGCTGATTTAAGTGTACGTTGTTTGCAGATTTCAGGAAATTGCTGGTTCTTTAGATTCTGCACTCGTAGGTTCTGGTCTTACCCCAATTCAGAAGTCAGATTCTGAGCAGGGAGGTTCTCAATACATGACATTGAAGCAAAGTCTTACTCTTATGGAATGCCTCAGATCCTGTTGGAGAGAAGATGTTCTTGTCATTTCTATCTCCGACAAATTTCTTCGCTTAACATTGCAGCTTGTATCTAGGTCAATTTGGCAATCAGATTTAGATCAACTTAATTTTGTTAAATTAATGTCTGACATCTGGAATTTTTTATCTATAGGTACGCAAATTGGTTGTCAGCTGGACTGTCTGCTCGCAGAACACGTAACTCAGGCACCAACTCTCCATTCGAATGGGCCCTTGCTGCTGCTCCAGATGATTTTGTTTATGTATGTATCACTTCATGCTTCTTTTCATACGTTAAGGGTTCATAAGAATGTTCATTAGAATTTATAAGGGATACTTAAACATTTAAACCACACCTTTTAGCTACTGCTACTCATATTTCTCAACTGTTTCTCCCCAAGTTGCAGAATAGATATTAATCACCCTACTTGACAAGCAAAATAGAGATGGAACTTTTGAAGAGACCATATAGTGACATAAATGAAAACAGACCGAAAAGGAAATCATTGATGGCTTCCTGGATTCCTAATACTGACTCTGAATATTCTAGATTTCCGTTCCTTTCTGGATGCCTCCTCTCGACTTCCCTATTCATACCCATGTGAAATTTTGAGAATTGGAAAACCACTCAAAATCTAATGCCTCAAGATTGCAATTGCATTGAGCAGTAAAACATAGTCTGGATGGGGCTTGGGAGCTACAAAAGATCCACGGGTGTCAGTTGCTAGTCAGAATCTGCTTTGCCAGACAGTGGATGTGTCTGATTAAGCATTTCCCGTTAAAGTATTCAACAGACAGACAATGGAACAAAACAGTTATTGAGAGCATCAGGGTGCATGTCATATGGGTGTCACTGCAACACGCAACCTGTGTTGGCATTATAAGATGACTCCCTTCATTTCTGTACTATCTGACAGTACATGATTACGCTACCTAGACACTGGAAACAAAAGGATGGGCATTAGTACCAAAAACATAAATCGACTGAACCAAATTTAGCTATATGGCAGAAATTGTTGGCTGACCTAAACAGAACATAACCAAATGATTCACAGGATGGTTGAACATGATGGCTGAAGAGGATGACCAGACCCAGCAATCTTTAAACCTTTTGATTCTCATTCAGTATATTAAATTAAGTCTATGGTCTGGACACTAGGCACATGCAGCCTTTATGCTTTCACTATTGTAAACTAGGTTTCCTATCAGTAACTTTTTTCCTCACCGCAATATGGTATGAAGAACTACAAGGATACAAAATCTGTCCATAAAAATTCCCACGTATGCATTAAGATTACAAACGTTTTTTCCTCTCAAACTATGATGTAGGTGTTGTTCTATCATCTCATGAGATTTTGTGATAATACTTTTTGTTTCGTCTTGCAGATAATTCATGATTTAGATCATCTAGCTGCAGAGGTTTGTGGCAACTACGTTGATGACGTTTTTGAGATTCTTAATTCCTGCTCGACCGAAGTACTTGATCTCGTTAAACACAGCATTTTGCAAGGTGGAAAATCTCTTAAAGATCTTGTCCCTTCTGTGATTGATTCAATCATCGAAACATTAGTTGAAAAGTCTAATGAGGTACCCTAATAAACATTTAAGGCACTTGATTATCAAGATTTCCTGTTTGATACTTTTTTGCAATATTATCCTTACTGATAACATGCTTTGATACATAAATGTAGGAATTGAAACAACTGCATGGGATAGTTGCTGCTTACAGGATGACTAAAAAACCACCTCCAGTGAGACATTCGCATTACGTGTCAGGGGTGTTGCGGCCCTTGAAGGTATCCATCATTTTCTTATTTAGATTTAGATTCGGAAGAGCATCAATTGAACGCCCGCACGGGTATACATTCCACTGAGGCACAACCATTACTGTTTGAATGTGTGTTTAAGTTCCATCTTTTTTGTACGGCTAAATTCTTTCTAATCATTCCTTTGTGTTTGATGATTTGCTTGCTTGTGTAAGACATAAACTTCTGTAAACCCCTTGTAGTAACAAAAACAAAACGATTTCTAAACCATCATATGGTATCCAGGTCTTTCTAGATGGTGAGCGAGCATCCACGTATTTGACAGAAGAAACCAAAGGTAAACTCGTACAAGGTGCTGCCTTCAAGATTACTGGTCGTTACAATGAGTTGGCTGCTGATATTGTCAACACGGTAAAGCATGAAACAAGTATATGAACTCTTTAATCTTGAGTTCTCCCGATTGACCATTCTTACATTCTCAACCAGGCAAGAAAAACAGAGACTTCCCTTCAGAGAATACGTAAAGGTGCTCAGAGGCGAGCTGGAGCAAGCTCAGACGTGTCGGACCATAATGTTTCTGAAACAGATAGAATTTGCATGCAGTTATTTCTTGACATTCAGGTATGCATACTTGAATACTCTCCATATATCTATATAATCGAGTAATAATGTCATCGAGTAATTTAAACCCGTTATGATCAAATATTCACTTTTGCACTAGCTGGAAACAACCGCTTTATTTTTTCAGGTAGAGGATCCCACCCCAACCCTGCTTTCAAGTGGGATATACTGAGTTTGTTTGGTTTGGTAATAATTAAAATATTCGATCTTTGTTTGTGGTCAGGAATATGGGCGCAACCTTGCGGTTCTTGGGGTTGAAGCAGCTAAAATTCCAGCATACCAGTCTTTGTGGCAGTTGGTTGCCCCTCAAGATAAACAAGGTGAAATAAGCTTCTAGTTATAGAGTTTTTGATTGTAAGACACAGGAAGGAGAAGGTTTGGTTTCGAGGCGCGTAATATACCGATGGTTGGAGTAGTAAGAGCAACGCATTTCGCTCGAGTCTTAGATTTCTTGTCAGATTGTTTTCTGTGAGTCTCATTGCAATATATATATATATATATATATATATAGTTTTTTTTGTTACTGATAATAATGTATTGAAGACAATTTTGTAACTAGTGTTGTGATTTATCAATGACATTTATATATATATGTTCTTGGGAGCCTCTCAATTTATTCATATAAACATACCAATTTTCCTACATATTCTGCTTGTTGGAAAACTCTATTCAATTCCGGGAAATAGTTGTCATATTCTTTGGGTAGAGGAAATGTGTATGTACATCTGATCTTTCAGACCCAATCATGTACTTGCTGAATCGTAAATCATGGCGTTTGGTTCGCAAAATGTTTTTTGATGGAATGGAATCTGTTAAAGGAAATTGACTTTGAAAGAATTGGAAAGAAATGTTGTCAAGTTTGACCACATGTTAGGTTGGCCGACATTGGAATGGAATCTGTTAAGAAATTGGAATCTGTCTGTTTGGTTTACAGAATGTAGTTTTAGAATTGGAATAAAATATTGGTAAATGACCAAAATACCCTTTTTGAAAATTCTAATTTTTTTAAAACTAAAATTACTTAAATAAAATAATTATTTAATATGTAAAACAATATAAAATACACAACCCCAAATGTAATTATAAGCCAAAAGACATTACTAAATCGACGGTGGTCGGCGGTGGTTCAGATCGGTGGTGGTCCGTGATGGTTCAGATCGGTGGTGATCCATGGTGGTTCAGATGACGGTTATCGGCAGTGGTTCAGATTGACGATGAATCAGATCATTGATGGCTCAGATCGGCGGTGTCCGATGGTGGTTTAGATTGGTAGTGGTCGGCGGTGGTTCAGATCAGCGGTGATAGTCGGTGGTGGTGGTCGGTGATGGTTCAGATCGGTGATAGTCGGTGGTCGTGGTCGGCGGTGGTTCAGATCAATAGTGGTCGGAAGTGGTCGACGATGGTCATATTGAGTTTTATGAGATTAGAGTAACATATTTGGTATAATGAAGATAGAGATTTCATTCCATCAAAATATCATGTAATTGCTAAGGAATGTTAAATTCCTTTATTTGAGGAATTTGTAAGATTTTGAAGATTCCTTTCGTGAAAAAGAATGAATCAAACGAGGGAATGGAATTTGGTCAACGGAATTCAACATTCCAATTCCATCAGATTCCTCCAGAATATGCGAACCAAACGCCACCTTAATTTATTATACGAAGATTGTGAAACATCAGTTAACATCTGAATAATCGGATCCATACAATGCATCTAAAGTACAAATAACATGTTAAATTAGAGCTCGGTGTGTACTGGGAACCACGGCAGGCCAGGTTGAGCACATTGTTTGGTGTCCGCCACAGAAACAATAGGACCCAAGAAAAGGCGCCACAAATCGAGTATTATAGTCACAAGCATAGCCGCCCCCAAAGCATCGATGGCTACTCTTGGCAAGTCCCATGGATCTCCCACTTTCTCATCGATCCTATAAGCATATGCACGATTTGCACATTAGCAAGCAAACCAAATCAAACAAGCTCAGTAAAATCCCAAACCGAGTAGGGTCTGTGTAGGGTAGGGTAAGGTAGGATGTATGCTTACGCTACCTCTACCCTAAGTAGAGAAGTTGTTTACGTGAAAAAATGATCAAAATGTGTTCCAAAAGTTTGATTGCGCTGTCAGGAAGTGAATTGCACTATTTATAATTCCAAAAACACACGGCAAAGGAGCAAGTTCTTACCTTAGAAACATTGGGAAGCTAACGAGAAAGTAGAGGGCGTAAAACAAGGAACCAACTCTGTACATAGACGTTCGGTCCACAAATGTATAATAAGGGAACTGCAAGAGTTCAAAACAAGTAAGATCGTTATTTCAATAAATCACCTGAATATAATTATGAGATGGAGAATTCACTTCTCCCTCTAATACTAAGAGAGAAACTATCATGACCTTTTGACCTATTAAAAGAAAAATGACTTTATACTCATCAGAAGGTCATGGCTTTAATTAAAATCTCATTGAAGGTTATAGACCTAAATATCTCAGGATCGAAAAGGGCGTATTGGTCACTACTCATGCTTCACACATCTATAATCGAGACATCTAATAGCGAAATAAGAAATGGCCACCTACGTTTGAAATGGCCACGGTCTCCAGATATGCAATAAAGTACGAAAGAGCTAGGATCCATGCAGACTTGATAATCCACTGTGTTTTCACCGGCAAGTGAGCAACAGAATGCTGTAGTCTACGAAGTGTCATATTTGACGTAACATGGTAAAACAAGAAGCAGACGTTTGTCAACAGGAAGGTTGTGTGGGGCACCTGCAAAGAAATTTGAAAGATCGGAGATTTATTTTTTAATAATCATATGTAAAAAGAAAAAAGGAAACCACAAAGGATGAGGACTTTATCAGACTAATCAACTAGCATCATGGCTTACATTGTTCATCTTCCATGATGGGAAGGTGTATGAAGCACCGAGCACTGTGAAAAAATAATGGGTCCAAAAGTAATTCCCGACATAGCTAAAGATAATTATCCATAAACTTGCCTGCATCAATATATAGATATCAGACAAATTTTGAAGTGGGAAGAAGTTTATATGGTGATGACAGCATGTCATTCAGTCATGTAGATAACTACGAGCTCTATTGGAATCATGGTTAACTAGCAAGCAACAGTCAACAGAATATAGCTAGAATACACACTATTGGGGTAACTTTCCTGTTTTCTTGTTGTTTACTTCTAACTCGATTTTCCTGTGTTCAGGTTCTTTTCCGAACCCTTCCCTTTTGCTATTCCCTCCTTTTCTATGGGGAAACTTTCTATCTTTTTCGCCTTCTCCCAAACTGGGGGTCTTCACTAAAACAACCGCTCTACTCTTTGAGGGTAGAAGTCAACTCAGCGTACATCTCACCCCTCCCAGAGTCCCAGACCCCACCTTCGGGTGGGATATACCGGGTGCATTTCATTTGGTTTGGTTGGCTTTACACACTACCGGCCTAGAATTGGGAGGGTGGAAATTAGTTAAGCCCTGTAAGGTACGGCCAACGCTGCTTCCAAAAATTGCATATGCTTTGAATGTCCCATAATCCTCAATAAATCAACCAAAATGCAATGTTTAGAATAAACATGTAATTCACATGATGAAATAAGTTTTGGCACACATTATGGGGATTGGGGCATCTAAAAATTGGTCATTATTAGCAGAAGACCTCTTAAGGAAATCCAACCAAATAACTATTTAGAAAACCTCGTCTTTGAGCGGAAATTTCTATCAGTGAAAGGAAATCTGAGTTTTTCTAGAATCATCAAACAAGTTCCATCCTCAAATTCCTATATATGTTCAGTAACCTGGCAGAATTGAGATGAAAACCTACTCAAAAGTGATCAAATTTGTGGAATGCTAGACCTACTATCTGAGTATGCAACCTATGCCATTTCTCCACTCTAGTCAATTAAAACAAACTTTTACGCATAAAGTAGGTAAATTCGTGTAAAACATGTACGGTTAAAGAAGCGAGGGGATTCTTTCTGGACAAATCAACAATCTTCAATAGATATTATGTTTGTATCTATGCAATCAATCAACATAATTCTACTGCTATGTTTGTGTAGCAAAATAAAAGGCAAGCAATTCAACCAAACAAGGCCATGTTCTAAATTAAAGATTGGCTGCATGATATATTGAACATTTGAATTAAACAAATTCAAGTGCAATGTACTTGCAGAAATCAAGTAGATTCTGAATCAGCAAAAAGATACTTGCCTTCACCCAATATCGATCCTTCCAATGGAGGTTACGATCAGCCTGGAAGAACCACATGAAGTAAAAAAAAATATAAATATCTCTGAATCTTCATATTTGTTTCTTATATTTATCACATAAGTCGATGGGGTCCTCTTTACAAATTCCATTGTTGAGATATTCATCACATCAGTACAATGTTTTAGCCATATGAAATTAAAATGCATGCAACAAGATATTAGTTGTTTAATTCTTCCTATCCCGTGATTCCATAGTATAAAACACCCAATACCAACATCTAATTCAAACTTAAATAAATGAAAAGATTGGTATTATAATAAACTGCAAAATGAAAGATGGCTATTCGAAAACGATGGCTCATAACAATTAATTGGCATCCCATGAAGTCTATAGATTGCTTCATAAAGAGCAAATGCAACTCAATGGGAGTAGCTTCATTTAATCTGCTTGGTCGATTGAGACTTGCTATCGTATTAAATTTTGATCCAAGAATTTTCAAGAGAATATGCATTGAAGCCTCATTCAATCTTTGCAATGAAAGCATATGTAGAAGAGCATGCAAGATTCACCTTTCCGACCATAAAAATTGGTAAAAGAAAAGCTGGAAGCACGGATATGAGTCCTAGAAGCAAGTACTCCAACTCCTTGAAATCCTGTTAATGAGAATCATATAAAGCAAACAGGTAACGTATTATTAGATATAACTAGACAACATGAAGATACGAGTGAGCTATGCATGATGTCATGAATTCGTTATGATTGCAAATTAAAGCAGTGAGTTTTAGGCTCTATCAAACCATAAAACAAGTATAGTTGATAAGTTAAGTTACTAACTTGTTCCTACCAACAAATTATTGATACAATGAAACCGCAATGTATCTAGACAGTAAAGCATAAAAAAAATACATCAAATTAGAGAATCTATAACCCGATGTAAATTAAATCCCATAACTCCATCTGTACATGTAGAAAAATGATGCTACACTTGAACTTTGGGAAGTGAAATGAGTTACTTCTTAAGTTCAAAATGAATAGGGTTTAACCTTTTCAAGAACATTTGATGACCACAAAAAATACTTTAATATCATTTCAATTGAGAAATGTTGGTGGTAAAGCATCAAGTATCAAAAGATTAGTAGTTTTGACACCAGAAATACCAAAAGGTAGCTTCCTTGTGGAAATGGTGGAGCAATAAGTAACAACCCCTAAACTACTAAACTAGATTTACATTATGAATTGGGGAAGCCAACTTCCAATGTCCCATCATTCAAAACTGATGAACTAGTTCCAATCTTATGATTTCAGCCAATTGCATCTCCAATTGTCGAATATATGCCATGTTCAATCACATTTTCCATATTCTTATAACCCATAAATCTATCAAACAAATTCAAAAACTCAGAATAACTCAGATTTCCTACTGATCGCACTTCATAACAATGGGATTCGATTGATGAACACAGGTACATATATATACACGAAAACCATAAAGTCGAAAAGAGGTACCTCGTAGAGCTTGTAAGGAACGACAATACCGAGGCAAAGAGTGAGCCAAAAGGGTGTGTAGAGAAGGAAGAACAATTCCCCCCATCTCTTGCTTGGATTTGATGCTAGCCATAAACTCGAACTACATTCCACTGCTACTACTTTTTCACTCCCTGCGTCGTCAAATTCATCCAAAAATTGAAAGAAATTTGAGATGAATCATTACTATTCTGCAAGTTAACATCTGAAAAGCATTCGTTCTTTAAGAAAACCACTTAAAAACCCTCAGTTTTTGAAAGATTGAATTGAACTTACCGCCCATATTTGCAGTCGGATCGAGACCTTTGTTTGCTTCGCCTCTCCAATGGTGTGGTCTTGGTCAGAGCTCGACAGTAGTGGAGTGTAACTACAAATTATGTCCATACACTTTATACCTTCATGCATATTTAGTCCATCCAAAATCCTTTTTTTACACTTTTTACCCAAAATAATCGATATTGTATCATTTGGATCCACAAAGGTAATTGACTATGTCACATGCCCATCAAACTATGTCACATCTTGGGCACATGACCAAGCTAAAGGCTAAAAATGTAAATTTCTCATTTACCATTAACATCTTTGTTCTATTTTAGGGGTGTTTGGATTTTGCTTATTTGAAATAACTAATGTTTTTTTACAAAAGTTTTTATCAATTTATTATAAATTATAATGATTTAACTTATTCAAAAACTTCTTATTACCGGTTTTGCACTGGTATAAACTGTTTATCCAAACACTCAAAAGTGCTTATTATTAATGTGACACCGAAATAAGTCAATAAGTTATTTTTATAAGCAATCCCAAACACCCCCTTATCTATATAAGGGGAACACAAGTCTTTTAACACCGGTGGTTGAACTTAACATTTTATACAAATATATCAGATAACATGCATAATTTGTTTCATTGTAACAGATATATATATTTGAAAAGGGAAAAAAAATACAGTATCCAAAGTTATAACTGTAAAACAATTAAAAAAAACATGAAATATTCAATCATTGTTTGTTAAAATGGAAATCGTTATTTATTAATAGTAGACTGAGTTTTTCTCTTGATTTACATGTTAAACAAAAGTAATAGCAAATACCAGTGTTTTATGTTCAATGATCCATGTTTTCTAAATCACCTGTTCACACCAAATCTTACTAATCACTGATCAAAGTCGCTGTCTAAAATTTAAATCTAAATCACAAAAAAGCAAGAAATCAAATCAGCTATAATCTTTAAACCTTAATATTGGAAGTCGTTGATACCTGGCTAAATCTCGTCTTCTTCTCACTGTTCACTTTACGAACTAACAAAATGAGGAATGGTGTGTAAGAATCTTCAATTCAATCATAACCCAACCAACGAAAATTTGAACAGATTTATATAAGAACCAGGAAGAAGCATCAGTCAGTTATTATATCAAGATAAATTAAACCGGAAATGGACATTGAAGAATGAAGACTCGACAACGTTTTAAAGGTGAGTTTTCAATTCTTTATTAGAGTTGCGTAGATGTTGGTATGGACACAGGAGGGTGGAACCCGAGCATAGCCATAGGTTAGGATCTAGAGACATGGGTTGGCACCGGTCTCTAGACGAGTTAGGTACTGATGCTGAAAAATATGTACTTTAATTGACTAATGAGCCGTTTACCAAATGCTTACTCGAGTAAGTGAACACCAAGTCATTTTACCTTACTGGATGAATATGGAAAGGATCAATAATCTTACATGGTAAGAGTGAGACAAATACAAAGAGTCTTGCTCGGTAAGTGAAGGCAACAACTCTTACCACGGTAAGTGCTTACCGGGTAAATTGTTGCATACAATACCGTTTTGGTGGACTAAAATCTTATCCGTTAAGTAAATGGTAGTGTTAATTTTACCGGTAAACGCTCATCGGGTAAGTGTTTGGTAAACAGCCCCTAAATAAAAACAACAAAATATAATTCAAGAGCTATTTATGTATTTTACTTATCATCAATGTGCATTAGATCTTGTTTTATTATTAAATAAAGAATCTAATACAAAAATAAATAAATGTTGGACTTCGTTTTGAATTTTCCAATTTTTTTTGTTGGATGATAACATTTAGGAGTTGTTTGGTAATTGTTGAATGATTAAGTGGTCAGAATGATTAAGAGGCTCTCATGAGCGGTTTGCTCGAACTCATAATGGAATCGAATCCGGTTCCCATATTTTATGGTTCATATTCCGGATTGGGTTCATCCCTGTAGTAATCGGATGAATTGAGTTGAGTTCGAGGAGTTTTTAAAAAAATAATGAAATAAATCAAAAAATGGATTTTTATAGTGCAAAATGAAATATAATTGTTTACTAATTATGTACAATGAAATTATGGCTCTTAATGGTTAAGTGAGATTTATGATACAAAATTATTCAGATGATTTTAGAACCATTAAGAGACAAAAAAAAAATTTGCCATACAAGATTCACCTCTTAACGGTTCAGAGGTTGTCTCTTAATGGAACTATTAAGAGGTAAACAAACAACCCCTACATATAACTCTGATTTTAATTTACAAGTTATTTAGGGAATTAAAATAAAATCTATTTTATTTTTCTAAACTCTTCTGTTTTCGATTTTGGACTGTGCAAGTTATCTGATTTCTTTCCATGCTGCCTCAATTAACAAGCCCAGTGATCAAAGACGAGATCTAACCTAGTGGTTTCGCTTTAATTCATTAACTATACGAAGATTTGATTTATTACCTACTAGTAGTCTAGCACCCCTTTTTCTTTGCCTATAGACCTATTATTTAGCCTTTTTGTAAATTTTAATTTTTGAAAACTATTTTCAAAAGTTGTAAATTAATTAATTAATTATAAGACATTTCAAATGAGAAAATCCAGTTAAATTATGTCTTGGTTAATTAATAGTTGAACCCAACTAAATGATAATTAATACTTGAATATGTTTTTCATTTGTTTGTTTAATTAATTTTAATTTAATCTAATCAAAACATAATTAGTTATGTATTGTTTGGCAAACATAAGCTAGCTTATTTTATGTGTACGTGTTTGGATGACCATAAGCTGGCTTATTGAAACGCTACATAGGAGTAGCGTTTTGGGAGCTTTTTGTGACTTTTTCTTATTATAACTCTTGTTACTATTAATTATTATTTATTATTAATATAATCTATTAATTATTATATATTAGTATTAATCATTTACAATATATTAATCATATATTATTGAATATATTTAATTATCAAAAAGTAAATAACACAATTTTAA